TTGACTGGGCCCTGTTATGTAAAAATGTCTTCCTTCTGAGGAGACACAATTGTGCATACAGGGATAAAGTCTTGTGAAAACTGCAACTTCTGGAAGAAAGACAGAAACAGCAACTGTGGAAAATACTAACATTTGGTGATGATAAGAAAATCGTAAATAGCTACTTACTGTACTCTTCTCATAAGGCCTGTGCAAGTTTGAACTTGAAAATATTTGAAATTTATCTATTTTTACTATACTGGGGACCAAACCCAGAACCTCATGCACCCTAGACAAGCGCTTTCCTACTGAGCGACATCTTTAGCCTCCAGGTTTGTTTTATTAAAGGTTGGGAAACAAAGGTTGACAACAAAACGGTGTAAAAGTCATAGATAGCTTTGGGGACTTACTTGCCAATTTATTTATGATGCATATTGCATGATGTACTTTGTTCCCAATGAAATATCATGTGCTGTTTTCTAAATAACGTATCAACTCAGTGATAGATATTTGCATTCAACAATAAATAAAATGGCATATAATTAAAAGAACAGCTAACCCAACCATTACAGGAATAATTTAATAAGACAGTTTTTTTAGTACCTTTAAAATAAACTAATTTTTATGTAGTTTTATAGCACCTCTTTTGTTTTCATGTTTTAAACAGTAAAAGAAACAGAAAACGAATTACATGCCTAAGAAATATGAGTTTGTTTCTTTGTTTGGTTTCTGTGGCATGGGAGAAAAACTCAGGGCCTCATATATGCTGGCAAGAACTTTACCACGTAACTAAGCCTGCAGCCTGCCTGGGAGTTTTACCCTCCTTGGTTTTTGTTACAAAATATTTAGCTACTTACTCACTGTCACTTGGAAATTTTAAAGGTCTAATATCAGATGGACTGTAAACAAGTCTGGACATTAGGTAACAGCATTACCCTCTTGGCTGAAAGAATTCTATGGCCAATGAGATAATAGTGAGAGAGGCTAACTTCGTATAGCTCGCAGTTTTAACCAATTACAAAATCTCACTTCATCTGGCATTTGTACAAGAGAAGTATGGAACTCACTCTCCCATTCATCCTTTTCCTTTCTTCAGCCCCAGCTGCCCCAGCACTGTGGGTTTTATTTACGTCTCCCTGGATCCCCGCCTTGGTCACTTGGAACAACCGGTTCCAAACGGCCCAAAAGCCCTCCCTCCCTCCTTCTCTTGACAAGATTATTTCTTTATGAATCATATTAAAACTGAATTTTCTTCTTTTCTTAGTGACATTAACAAAGTGTGCTTTGCAGATCACAAAATTCACCCTTCTAACATATACGACTTAATGGTATTTTAAGACATTTGGTGAGTTGTGTAATTGTTATATCATGCACCACCCAGTGAGATCTGTTTACAGCTGATTCTTGACACCACACTGCTTTCAATGTCTATGGACTGATATGTATATGGGACTTATATATATTATATATAAATCCCATAGTATGTGGCTATATTGCATAGTTTCTGGCCTTTGTTTCTGGCGTTTTTCATTTAGCACCATGTTTTAGTTCATTCATATTATAGGAAGTATTGGTATTTTACTTCTGAATAGTATTCTATTTGAATAGAAATACCATTTTTTATTATCCACTTCACCAAACCAGCTACTGGACATTTGGGTTGTTTCTTATTGTGGCAACTGCCACACTTATGTGCAAGGGTTTCATGTTCTTGTGTTCTCATTTCTCTTTCCTGTGTACCCAGAAGTACTAGACTTATGGGAAGTAGCTTAAACTGATATCACACTTTGAAAAGAGTCTGTGTCATTTTTCTATTCCCATCTGCTGTCTGATGAGAGCTCCCCTTTCTCTCCCTTCTAGTCATGTTTGTCTCTCTCTATCTCTTTATAATTAACACTCTCCCATTGGGTTCAAAATGCTATTTTGTTGTGATTTGAATTTGTCTCTTTCTGATGACTGATATCCTGCTTGTTTATTCAAATCCTGTGTCTGCTTTTAAAATTGGGACCTATGGCATCCCATTAGTGAGCTGTAACAATCTGTTGAACACAAGCCCTTTATCAAATCTGTGCTACCAAAGCATCTCTTCCAGGCCATAGCTGTCTTTTAAGTTTTCTAATGCTGTCTTTTAAAGAGCAGAGTCTTTGAATTTTGATGGAGTGCAATTTATCAATTTCTGCTTTTAGGGTCATACTCTCTGGTGCTTCGTGGAAGGCGGAACACATGATTGTTAAGTAGACAGCTGGAATGAGGCGGCCTTTTACCTGCATTTCAATATCCATGTTGATTCCTCCACTCTTGTGTGTAGAAGCCTGTTTTATCTGGAGAAATTCAGAAAGCTCCACACAAACATAAATAATCTACATTTTTTTTCCTGGCCTGCTTTGAATGTGAAGAGAAGGTGAACTATCAATGATTCCGATTCATGTGGCTCCTCAGCTTGGAGTCTCTTCCTCGGGTAGTGGGAATGTTGCCTAAAATAAAGTTAAGAAATTTTGTTCTTGTTTCCGAGAATTTCATATATGTATACAATGAAAAATATGTCCACTACCATTTCCCTCCTTCAACTTTCTCATGTTCCTCCAACATGTCCCCTTTCCAACTTCATTTCCTCTTAAAAAGAATGATTTTTCCCTCCCCCCAGCAGCTTTCAACTGCTAGTAAGGGGTGAGGCATGGAGAGCACCCTTTAGGCTGGTTTGATCTTGCACAGGTCTTGTACAGGCAAGCACAGCTGCTGTGAGTTCAGAAGTGTGAAGCCACAGGATGCTCATCACAGCTCCACTCCTTTGAATCCTCCAGCTCTCACATTACCTCCTCTTTAGTGATGTTCTCTGAATCTCGTTAGTGGGATAGTGGGGGAAGGTGGCGGTTTGGATAAAGATGTTGTATTTAGCACTGAGCACTCGGTTTTACAATCAAGGGTTTCTTAGGTCTGTGAAAGGCTGTTCTCCTTCTGTTTACATTTTGAAAAGTCATGTAAGTCCAAAAATGTCAAGGAAACAATGGAAGAGTATTTCTGGGACTTCTCATAGCTTTACTTTTAATTTTTCTAGGTATAACGAGCATCTTTAAGCATTTCAGAGCAAGGGAGAGGGGTATGAGAATGCACATAACGCCTAGACACATAGATTTTTGTGGTCAACTATTGTGCCAGATACCTTGTGCTCCCAATCATCAAGCTTGAACAGTGTGACTTAGCATAACTGTGTCACTGTCACCAAAGTTGATAAGACAGACAGCATGAATTCTTTCAATTAACTGAAAATTTAAGACACTAGGTACAGCCAAGTCTGTCTAGCGATTAAGTAGCAAGTACTTACTGAGTACATATTATATATGGCAATATCCATGTGTAGATGGCTGTACAAACTTGCAACTCCAGCATATACCCTTCCGTAGACCTCCATTTCTATGACTATTGAACTTGAATGCTCAAGGCACTTGTCAAAAATTGAGCTCCAGACCCCCCTCCCCCAACTTTGCACCTCCTACAGCTATCTCATTTCATATCACCTTCTTCCTTCAGGTGCACAGAAGGAATCTGTAAATCCTTCTGTCTACCGTCTTCCCTTTTTACCTTGTGTCTAAGTCATCACAAAGCCTGTTAGCTCCAAATGAAATGTGGAAGCATGCCTGGGATTCTAGAACCGAAAAGGGGGGTGGGATGGTGAAAATTAACTATTGGATTATAGTAGTGCATCTTCTGGCCCTGGCTATCTAATGCTTGTGGCTAGGAGACAAAGAGGTAAGAATTATGACTTCATTTTTATGGTCTGACTTGAGGGTGTGGCCACCCAACACACATTCTCATTCTTTATTCTGAGAAAGACTTGCCTTTGTCAGCATTTAGACACAGTTTAATGATGCCTATAAATGTTCATAACTTAAAGTCAGTTTAGCCTTTTGGGAATATCTTGTTGAATAATATAATATCTTAACATTAATAATGTAATATCTTAATAAGATAATAACTTCTTCCTGAAGAACTAAGTTTTTGAATCCTAGAAAAACAGCAACAGTTCAGCTTTTCAAAGAAGATTCTGCTAGAATCCGTCAAATGCTACTTAAAATGGAAAACATCCATTTTCGTTTTTACTGATGACATTAATCTAAATTAAAAAAATCAAAGGTGCCAGAGGCTGCTGGTGGCAATGGGCCACAGAGGGCTCAGTAAGGGCTGAATGAGAGGTGACAATTGTCTGGGTCATGAAGAGTTCAAGAGCTGTCTATAATGTCAATTTTAGTTTGTCAGCAACATAAGTTTTATATCAAGTATATAAATCTAGAAAAAGTAGACCTGGGAAGATGGTTCTTTCCATGATGATTCGGGAAGAGTCCTAGTGTTACTTATAAGAAGAATCTGTGAGAAATCCACCTCTAGTCTTTGTACCTACATGCATATGTGTGTCTTTGATCCTCCCCGTAAATGGAGACCTTTCAGATACTATTAAGACTGAGTAAATTAAACAATACTTGCTATGTGAATTCAGAAGGACCCGTTACCACATTTGGATCACTTCATAACACGTCCAAACAGATGTGCATGTAACTTTCGGCTTGCATCCCTTGCATTCTGGCAGCTGCAATCAGGTCTGAGTGGAGTATGCGACCACCAAGCACAAATCCAGCCCAGTGACTACAGGGGTACCGAGAGGGGAAGGTAAAGGTGATATTTCATCCAGTGTTCTCGGTTCGTCCTCTCCTTACCTGACCTTTGAAATGGAGCCATCAGCTTTGAAAGGCCTGACATCTAAAATTAATAGTCTTTTCCCATCTGACCAAGAAAGCAACAGCTGAGCAACATGAGATCAAGGAACATATTAGTTATAACAGGGGCTCAAAGTGGCATTTGAGAGGGAAGAGACTTCCTCTGGTGGTAGACACTTGTCACTCCAGATCACTTCTGCCCACTGAGAGTGAAGGATCTTGCCAGGGAGTTCTGCAGTCCTTTTCAGTTCTGCAGATTCCTCTTCTCTGCCGGAAAGAATCCTCTACTCGAGGAGTGGTTCAGGCTCCAGGATGTCCTCCTACAGATGGTAATTACTTTTTGTTTATTGCTATATATGCTCCAATCTCATTTTTCTCCCTGGGTTGCTTTAAATAACAAGTCCTTCCATACTTCAGGCAGAGCTCAATGCTTAGTATTTCTTTGTGGGATAGTTATGTTTTAAACCTAAATTTCTGTTGTAATGTGTCTGTTTTTGTGGCTCCCTGATCCAGTTTTGGCAGGGCCTGCAATTCAACATTATATCTTAGCCACAGTTTACTGTTAAACAGACATGCATCGGTCTACTTAGATTAAAATTTCTTTCCATAGAATTTTTTAAAATACTGATTAGTGGTGTATAATGAATTAGTAGAGGTCTGGTTGATGTTATTTGCAATTTTTAAAAAAAGTAAGTTCTTTAGAAATTTGTAGAACATTAAATTTAACTCTAGTAGGTTATTTTACTCTATGAATTGTAAAAATAAAGTCTCATTGGCAGAATTAAAAGCGATTGTTATTAGAGAAAATGAAGCAAATTTCAAAGAATTTCAAGCAGGGGCCTCAAGAGGTAGCCATGGAAAAACACAAATCCAAATCTTTTCTTAATCTTTGTCCCCCTGTATATCCAAGTAGTGTGTGAATACATAGATGCATTTATATATCCAGAACTGTGACTCTGTAGCATGTGTGTAACCTAATTTGTATGGAGGGCATTTCGGAGAGAGCATTCAAAGCTGAGCCCAGTGCACAGCTGTTGACAAAGATGCAACAAAAGGTGTTTGGCCACATCCTTCATCTGAACTGACTTTCTGTTGAAAAATCAATACCACATGTCTCAAGATGTAGGCAGGAGGAGTTGGTGTGTGGCTCAGAGGTAGAGGTGTTTGCCTAACATGGGTGGCTTGTTGGGTTTAATACTGAGCACTGAATAATGTAAAGCGGGGTTTGCATGCAGAGAATCGCTGTGGTGGAGACAGTGCCCAGGAAGGAGGCCCAATTTCCAGAGGGAGAAGGGGAAGCCCCTCTTCCTAGACAAGTCTTTCTTTCCGGCAGGACTGTGAGTAACAAGCTATGCACGGTCAACCCCCCCCCCCCCCCCCAGCCCTCAGACTGTGTGTTAACTGGCCACATGACATGGTGGTGGAATTTTCAATTTGCCTCTTATCTTCTAGTATCTAGGAAAACACACACACACACACACACACACACACACACACACACCATTCTCACAGCATGGGAATATGAAACTCAAAGCAGGGCAGCCTGAAGGGACAGGAGTTTGGACTTCTGGGGTGAATGGGAGTGGGAAGTCTCTGGAAGGACAAAGGAGGGATGCACAGACATCAAGGGTGCAAATGAAATCTTTCAGACGGCAGCTACCTGAAACGGTCATTTCTATCAGCATAGGTGTCTTGCTCTCTGTCTCCTCTTCCTGTGACTGAATCAGTCTTTTCCTGGCATCTACAAAGGGGAAGAGGGGATGTATCAGACAGAACTAGCTCTATTTTCATTTATTACTTCTCAATGTAGATGGCTCTAAACTTCCTTTAACAAAGGGCTTTTATTTCCCCAGCCATTCCTGTGTGTAAACGGTCTTGTGGTTTACTTGAACAACCAATTTGAAAGATACTGCATAAATGTAATTGGGGTTTCCCTCAGTGTATGTCTTATTTAATGTAGTGAAGGATATTCATGGTCATCTGGGAGGGCACATCTCACTATTTGATTTTGTGTGAAAATGTGTAATATATATATGTATACATATATATGTATATATATATTTATATACATATATATGTATATAAATATACATATGTATATAATATATACATATTATATACATATATATGTATATAATATATACATATTATATACATATATATGTATATAAATATGTATATATGTATATCATATGTATACATATATTTCTTTAATATATATATTCCTTTAAATGTTCTAGCAACAGGAAAAGTTTTGGTGTGAATATCCACGTTGCTCCTGATTTGGAAAGTTGATGGTAAATACATGGTCTGAACTGTTTTGTTTGTTTGTTTCCTTTCTTTATAGTCAAGAGAAGAGAGTACTGAAAAGCCATGATTGTGTCCTGCTCTACCAATCCGAGACAGAGGGAGATGAAAGCCCTGCTTCTGACAGCAGCCTGCTCAGACTCACTACCAGTATGCTGAAGGTGAAGAGGCTGGAGGAGATCAGCTCATGCCACAGCAGCAACCCTCTGGAGAAGGTGGCCTTTTTTCAGTGCATGGAAGAGGTGGAGAAGGTGAAATGCTTTCTGGAAGAGAGCTCTGGCAATCTGGATCTGCAGTCTGGAGACAACGAGGTAACCATGCTCTGCTTCATCCCGTAGGTGGTGCTACTTGTGTGGCCCCCTTCAGGTTCGGTGTTGTCCCTTGTGTGTAGAGCTGAGGAAGCCTGGGAATGGACGAATTTCTGTTCCGCTTCTCTAAGGACTGTGTGTAGGCTCTACACTTGAGTTGCATTGATGAGTTCAGAGGCATTTGAATGTGTATTTTACCTGCAGTGGTTGAGGAGTTCTGAGGTGAGTTTCTGGGGACTGGGAGTGTAGCTCAGTGGTAGAGGCTGTGCATAGCATGCTGGAGACCCTGAGTTCCACACCATCACCCCCCTCAACCAAATTCGCATATACACATACACACATTTCTATAGAATATGCTGGGATGACAACTCGTGGGCAGAAGGACGGGGCCCGGTGTGCAGCTTCTAATTTCCTGAAAGCCCTGAGCTCTGTGAGAGGTAGAGCTGTTAACAGCAAAGTTCAGAGAAGGGGAAGCATTTCTTGCTGATGACGTGATGGTAGAGCCTTGTAATCACCATGCAGAACAAGCGCTCTGGGCTGCAACAAATTCGCACATGGAGTTGCCTAATCTGATCAATGAGATGCTAGGTGCTTCGGAAGTAAGTTGGATAATACGTCCAAAGCATGGAAGCATTTATGGTGTGTGTGTGTGTGTGTGTGTGTGTGTGTGTGTGTGTGTGTGTGTG